TCGAGATTTCTGAATATAGATCCGAAAAGTGGTCACACCATTACCTTCTGGACTAATCAAAACTCGCTGGTTGAATTCAGTCGGCCAGCAAGAGCGATACCAAAAACCAGATAATCTATTGGCATGCCAACGTTTTCCGGTTCGAAGATATTTTTCCAATCTGTCTGGTTTAGTACACAAATGTTGATTTATCATTCGTGGATCCTTTCGATCCGTTTTCGCAGAACACTCAGAAAACATAATTTACGAGCTAACATTTCGAATCATTGCATCAGTCACTGACACGAAACGCGTTAAAAGTATGGAACAGTACACTGTTCTGTGTAACAGCATGAATCGGGTTCATTGCTAGGGTATTATGACCGTTTGGATCAATTTTGGTTGCTGTGCTTGTATCAAAATTTTTCCACATTGCCCCATGGACAAAAGCCAAGTCAAGGTTTAAAAGAAACACTGGCATACTGCAAAAGTTCAAGTCAACTCGAGTCAAATCCAGTCAAGTCAAGAAAAGCTTTTCTCGTTCAAGAGGGAATTTTCAGCGCGCACGGTAAAAGGAAAGGGCATCCAGAAACACAATGTTGCATTTGATTTGTCCAGCTAGTGGATGTAGCCTCGGACCGTCCAGCAAATGACTGTGTACGGGAAGGTAGAGTTATACAGGGCCGGAACACCAGCAAATGAGACTGAATTACGATTGACAAGATCATAAGGACAAAGTTATGACCAGCGTCACTGTGCTGGTGACTGAATATAGAGAGATACTTCACGTACAATATGGTGTGAACCACAAGTAGTCCCTGGAATACGACAAATCTAGCGCAAACAAAAGTTAAAGTGACAATTCCAAAGAGCGGTGTACATGTAAGGCTCTAATTTTGGTACTATAAAGTGTAAATCATCGGATTTTGGAGATTTCCCCAGTGTGAAGGACCAGCTGAAGCCCATTCCAACCGCTATTTTCAAGTACTTCGACGTGAAAGCCTATAAAACGCAGAGGGAAGAGAATCCATTGGAGTGAGGGGTCATGCTTCCGACTTGGAGTGAGATTGAATCGCAGTGGTACAGTTTTCTACTGGATGGAAGGTTTTTCTTCAACAATGTGAAAGTTGAATTGGAACCGTCTTGAAAAAATCACTTTCTCAGCCGTTTCAAACGCTAAATTTGGTCGAGTTTACTCACAAAAGCTAACTAAAATGCACATAATCCATAGACTCGATGGGAGCTGAAACATCCGGTCGGGGCCCGTCTGCCATACCAACTTCAGAACGCGCGAGATTCGGAACACTGTCACGCCGCCCCAGCCTAGAAGGCAGAAGTCGAGATATCGGGACTGAGCTCGAACGACGAACCTTCTAGTCACTATGTTTCCGCCTTAACCAGTGAGACATCTCGAGCACCTGAGTCCCCTGAAGCTGACGAAGGAAGTTTCGGACAATTTAGTCTGAATCTTATTGGTGTCAACTGTTTGATAACAAAACACTGAATACTGTCATTCGGAACATTTAACACAATCGACTGCTTACCATACACACTTTGTTTCAGTAGTATAGGAAGTGATAGTCCAGTAGTCGAAGAGTTTTCAGCGACCTTGCAAGTAGGTTCTTTTATGATAGTTCAGTAGTTATTGAGTGCATCAGCATGTAGATAAAGTCGCGTTGTCCCTGCGATTGGCCTACGATGGCAGTAAGGGTTTCCCTCAGGAGACCAGCATGTTCATGAGAACAGCTGGCTTTCCTTGAGGAAGGACGGGCTACATAAAGTCGGCCTTAAAAATCGCATGCTCCGATCACGCAGCTATTCACCGTGACAGCCGGCGCATTATCCAATACGATTTAAATAATTTTCAAAACGAAGAGCTCATTACGGTTTAAAAGGCACCTGTTATACGCAATCTACCGTGCGTCCTCATGCCAGGTCGGCCCTCTGTAGCCAGGTGGTTCAGAAAATCGAGTCATTGGCTCCGGGAATGTTCTTCCGAGAAAAAAAACCCAAGAACCTCAAGCTAGCGGTTCGGACTTTTGAGTCAGAGGCTAAGGTTAGGGTCCTCAAACAAAATCCTACATCATACCAGAGAATCCTTTGGAGTCAAAGGCCAAGTATGGGGTACGTCAAACGAATTCCCTTCTTTGGCTTGGGAAAGCAGGGTGTTTCATGCGCTCTTGCGGTTCTTTGCTCACCGATCCTCCCGCACACCTCCCCACCCGTGTCAACGATGTGTGTGAGGAAAGCGGGACAGCATTTCACCCGCGAAATCGTCGCCTTGTGCGATGTGCCGAACACTTTTGGGAGCAGTTCAGCTGGCTTCCTTCACCACAACCTCTGGGAGAATGAAGCGAGCCTGAATTGAGCATTGACACCAGCCCGATGCAAGGCACACGGCCCGGATATACTGTACCTCGCAATTCCAACGAATATGGTGAAGCTCTTTTGAGTAGTCTGACAACCCTACTGCAGGAGATTTGGAACGGAGAACGAATACCAGTGCAATAGAATGCCGCGACCCACGATAAGTGTCCCCTCTAAATTTTTGTCCCTTTTGAAGGCACTTCCCAACTTCCCGTTTTCTCAGAGTAATGCACACTACGAAATAACTGAGTGTATCATCGCTTCGTTTCCCATGCTCTCCAGTTTTCCAGAGGCCGAAAGTATGGCACCTGAAAAAAGCGTACCCTTGGTACATTGTTTATGTCTGACAAACCAAAATGAACTGACCTCTGAGTACAGCAGATCCCTTGTTAGTTATTAGTTCGGAAACGCTCCGATCAGTGATGAGCTCAAGCAGAACTCACTGGAGTTTTAGTTAGGATCTTTGATCGATTCACAAGTAGAAAAGACGTTTGGTAATCCGTCTGCCTTAGAAATTTGGAATTTAGTAACAAACACTTGTATGCAGGTTGTCAAGACATGATCAACTTGAACGTTCGGTGAAGAGTCATCATTCTTACTGTATCCTTGCTATATCCGGCATTTTGCTGGAACCTGTTGAACTCATTGGATGTTGAAAACATCGACCGATAAAACAAATGGATTCTTCAAAAACACTGTTGACTGAATCCTGAAAAATTCGGTTACTGATCCTGCGAACAAAAATGGAACCCGATTTTTCGCATATCTGTTCTATATATACTATTCAGCTCTGTGTAATACTTGAACAATACGCCAATTTCTTTCGCATTATTCTGACGTTATCGGACTGTCGGTCACAGCCACAATTGCACCATCACCCTCAAAGTGGAAGTCATAGTTGGAAAGGTTATGGTATTTATACGCAAAGTAGTATGTTATGCGAAAATACATGAAGTGATTGGGGAATGTTATGGTAACTCACTAGTTCGACCTCCAATTTCCTCATCTTTCCATTAAAACATTTCGGTCGTGTGTGAGAAATATGATAGGTGACTGGTGGCTGAAAGGTTGTAGAAAGTGTATTCCACTTACTCTCGTTTAACGAGTTCTGTGCCTTTCCACGGAACAGTTTTTCTGGTTAAGTCAAATTAAAGAGGGGAGCGCTGGACTCGAGTCTTGATCTTGCTGAAGTAGGACAGATCTATGACCGTACCGGGTTTTTAACCCCTCATCTTTTCGGTGCCCAGCTATCATGCCACCCAGAAGTAGCACGAAGGCCGAAATACTGCCAGGTTTCCCAAGCTTAGACAAGAGCAGTTGAGACGCGGAGGTTGGGTTCGAACCAAACACCTTTCGGTCAGTAAGTTCGCGCCTTAACCACTGAGCTGACTCGAGCTTAGCATGTTACTGCCGCTCCAACGGCACACTGTGGACGACCTTGAACCATCTAGTCCGAACAGTTGATGTTTACGTTTGAGCGATCTGATTGAATGTCAAGTGCCCCGAAAGACAACTCAATAACGGCACAACCAACACTACTTATTTAAATCTGCACAGACAAAATGGCCAACAAATTTAAATCCTCAGATCAGGCCACACAGCTCACAATATAGACCGACGACCTAGCACTTAAATTCAAACTGCATTGTACGGTAATCCTCGTAAATAGATCTCGCCAATGAGGCACCGTAATTTGCTATGTGGAGCGGATGTCCCTATTTGGTGCATTCGTCGAGTCCCTGGGTCAATTAGTCATATTTTCACTCCCAATGGGAGGATTCCGAGGTCGAAGAAGGATTTTTCTGAGGCTTACGAAGTTGACAGAGGTTGATGCGAGATGTTTGCCTTGGTTCCGGCGTAATTGTGCCTTTCTTTATTAGTTGGTTTGTTATCTACCTTCGGGTCACTCCTCAACAACCGTCCTCAAGCACGTCTGATGAGGGTGCCCTTCATCTCTAACCTGGTTATGCAGTAGTTGATGAGGACCATATTCTAATGTGAGACAAGTAATATTCTCAAGTTTTTTTGTTATTGGGCTGTTCACAGAGGTTTGCGAACAAACCCAAAACCAAGCAGCACATCCAAGCTTTCTATATTTCGCAACATTGCCAAGTTTTTTTGTTCTCCGTGCGCCAGCATTTCGGTGACTAAAAGACGAAGATAGAGTATCTTGGGTCACGACCTTGATACATTCACCCTGAAGGCCTAGGTGTGAAGCACTTGGTCAGAACTCTTTCAAGTGACTAGTTTATGCAAACATACTCCGCTGATTCAGGGGAGTTGGGTCTCTTCCGAGATCTTAACAAGTCCTCGCCGAAATAAAGTTACGGGGAATGAGAGTGGCAGTAGTGCGAGTCGGGTACCTTATTAACAAAACAAACATTGAAAGTGATGCACAGGACAACTTTGTGGTTCGCACGATGCAAGGGAGGAACTAACGGGAAAAGATAGGTATTGTATTGTGATTACACACCATACGAATGCGCAGATTAAATTGCTTGTTTATTGCTGATTAGCTGAAAAGTAATAAGTACGTCTGACAGCCCCGAGACCACTTGGAAGAATGATATATTGGCTCACACTGGGACTGGACGACTGAACGTGCTTCCATATCACACGGGTTACTCCGTAACAGTGGCAGCTGAAGGATCATACTAACTACCTGTGTATCGTCTAGCGTGTTTCATAAAAATAGAACCGAAACAGTCAGCAGCATTAGACTTGTCTTGCGAAGCATCCGGATTAGCGAAGTCAACCGGCTTTGCTGTGGAAAAAATAACTTATTAAGACGGCTTATTGACATACGCGTTGAACCAGAATCCAAAAATATCCTGTCGAAACACGGTCGGAAATGTCCGGTGTCGAGTGGCAGTCATAATTTCCTGCAGATTGGTTACACGCACAGCGGTGATGATTCGAGACACGCAGGAAACGGTCAAGCACCGATTCTCAGCTTTTCACCACAGACAAAACAGAATCCAAATATAGACTTTCAAAAAGTGCAATTTTTCTCAGTGACTGCCCAATCGCAGTTTCTCATACATAGACGAGATCTTTGAAGCCAGGTACTTACACACACACTTGCAAAGTATTTTTCGCGCGATCAGTCACTACTGCATCCCTGAATAAAACTTCATCCTAGGAAAAGCGAGCTCACAAGAAGGACGTCAGTGACAGAGTAATTCAGGTGCTTAGCGTAAAATCAAATGAGAAGTGCGTAACTGGATGTCATGAAGTCTGATCAAACGGTGGGCATAGAAGAGTATCCGGCGAGAAGGTATGGCAGCGATCGTTCAGCGGTAACGTCCTTCGGTGCCTAGCTGCCACGCCACACAAAGGAAGCACGAGAGTAGGGATACTGATGGGTTGCCTAAGCCCAGACAGGGAAAGTTGAAAGGCAGAAGTCGGGTTTGAACCACGGACCTTCCGGTCAGTAAATTTGCGCCGTAACCACTGAACCACACGATCGACGGGGAGCCAGGCTGTAAGATACGGCTCTAACAACAGTGTCGGCCTATTTAATCGTGCTGCGTCCGCTGTTATCAGGCGACATGTCCAGCTGAAAATTTTTGGCCTATACATTCTGGAGACGAATAAAATCGCTGGTTTTGGTTCTTACTGCGGCGGGTTTCAAAGACATATGAGGTGGACTTCTTACCATGTTAATGTCCTCGGTTTCCCAGCGGAGATCTTCACGCATTACGTTTCAAGGCTATAATTTCGACTGCTGTGGAAAAAAACGGGAAGAGGAGTGAACGATTACACTCTTGGTGTGGACTGGTATTCTGGCTTTGTGGATTGAAGGCAGCAGAGGCAGGGTCGCCACCGGCACAGATCTTTGTGAACGAAATGCGGCGACTGCGCCTCTGACTGATTGCACTCAAACGGCGAACGTGTCTTGGTAACAACTGTTAAAAGCGGTTCAACAGACTGGCCACCTGTCCCAATTCCTTTGGATTCTAGCAGGTTATGGATGTTTTGTTTCAGCAACCAGGTCAAATTAAAGTAGACCCGTCTTGATTGATTCACGAGGGTATCAAAGTTCTCACCCGTCTCAATGGCACACACGTCCCGATATTTATGCCTTGTTGCATTCACGTGGGCTTTCAGTGAACAAATCTCTGCAGGGAGCCCGTCTTAAACCTGACCAAGGCACAGTACGTATAAAGCGTTCGTCTTAGGCTCAAAAGTTAAAGAAATGTCATCCGGGGGGAGGGGGACAGACCAAGAGTAGAAACAATAGCGACCCCACTGGTTTATTGGTAAAATCGGATCCGTACATTGAGTGTTTCCTTGAGAATCTAGTGGGGATTAAAAACAGTAGGTCCAACAAGTCACTAAACTAAGACATGAACTTTAGTCTCTGTGGATGTGACGTTCGTAAACCGGAGGTAACTCCAAAGAACCATATTCGGTTGTTATGTCAATCCACCCTTACATCTAGTTGCATCCAAAGTCAGTCGGCCTTCGGGAAGCGGCTGCCTGGAAATGTTCGATGTCTGAGGCCAGTCTTAACTTCCCGATAACCCCCTCCCGAGCCAGACGGCAGTAAATCTGCTCGCGTTTCATACAATTAGTACAGGGGATGTTCGACAAAGTCATGTAGCAGACGGACGAGTGCGTTTTCGATTGAAATCCATTAACTTCACAGTCTGAACGGGGATCACAACCTTTTGAGTATCACCCAAATCTGTTCGAACGTTTTTCACCATTGATACATCCTTATTAGTGAGGTACCTATCGTGCACGAGGTCGGATGGAATTGCAATCGAAAACAAACCAGTGGTCATGACGTGAAAAAGTGGCTTTGTTCTCAGGTCCAGACGAGTTACATGGAGGGTCAGTTACGGAGGGTGGGAGTGCAGATGGAACACCACATATAATAATAGAAAATGACGCCATCATCACACGGATAAACGGCCGCTTGGAAAGTGAAGGAATGAAGAATACAAAACAACGCATCACTGTCACAGGTAGCCAACAATATCGACATGATTCGCATAACAAACGTCATTCAACGTTGCTAGAAATGCCACTGGCTGCTGACCAAACAAGGACAACAATACACGAGCGTAGTGTCCGCAATGGCCGTCGATGAAACGGCAAAATACGCCAACAATGTGCAAAGGATTTAGAGAAAAATGAAACTGCGTTTGATGTTTGACTAGTCCGAATAGATCTAAATGCCAAGAGAAACATTGTCTCGGATAGGGTGGGAGATCTACCAGGTATACTCTAAAATACGAATCTTGAAAGCCACATTGAGCAGGCACACAGCCTTGAGATAGTGAGTAGGTGTTGGATAAAGTGAGTGAGTGGGTAGGTGGATGGATGTGAGTGAGTGAGCACATTGCACAAAGAACATACGAGGCCGTGGAGCGCCACTGGGATGAACAGAACTGACTTCGGTCCGCATAAACTGTTCAGGCAGCTCGCAACAATGTGAGGACTGTCATGTCAACTTTAAGTAACAAGTAAGAGGAGGATGTATGCCGTGTCTTTCAAAAGATGTCGCGATAGTACACTGCAAGTGCCAAAAAGAGGTAGTCCAGTAAGATTTGGATGACGTATTGTCTCAAGTGAAGCCAGAAACGTAACAAGAGAAACGTGATCTACACACACACACAACTGGGTAGGAAAAATGCATGGAAATCAATAAGGAATAGGAGCAATTAAAGTTATCTCTAACGGCGTTTTCTCTCAACAGATATACACCCGTGAAAACAAGACAAATCACAATGGTAAACACAAGTCGCAAATTTCAGTCTCGAAATCAGATTGCACTGCTGAGTGAGTGGGCAACGATGTGAAGATGTCTGAGAACAAAACTAGTGGTAAGAACAGTGGTACCCAACGAAAACATCAAGGATTGAATGAGATCTGAAAGCTTGTACTATTGGGAGACGTTGAAAGTATACGTGTAGTGTTCGAAAGAGACCAGCACAGGATAAAATCGGGATGAAAAGATGAGGTGCATCACAATGTTTGAAGAGATCGTTGTGCCCTTCAACCTTAGCTGATCTGAAGCGCAAGACCCTGTCGTGGAGATAATAGATTAGGAAGGATGTAGGGTGGGGGGGGGTAAACCGGAAGCTGATTAGTAGTGGTGGTACGTGATTACTCTGACTATTCTTCACTGCAATCAAATTTTGTGGAGGAAGTGATGGGCATCGTCTCCTCAGTGGTGCCGATATCAGAGGTCGGATTAACTGGAGCAGGACTAGTTACATTACTCTCTTCATCCTCATGTTCCGGAGCACCGAGGGATGCCGCTGTCGCGGATGTTGCTGATCCAGGAGTAGGAGGGTGTGTATGTGAATGCGAGTGTTTGCCCCGATGTTTGGACTTGTTTCGACCAAAAAGATTGGCGAACACGTTGCGTTTTTTACCGACACCAGTGGCTTTCGATTCAGTTCCGGTGGCATCCGAGCTATCGGGGAACTGTTGGTAGCAAAACGGAGAAACAAATATTTGACACGATAACAGTAAAGTAGTGAACAGGGACAACATTCTACCGGGACAGAAACCTGCTGTACTTGAGGCTAAGAAGAGTCCAAATGGGCTGCATGCCCCGGGCAACATTCGAAAGGTGTGATTGTGAGCTAACGAGCGAACAGATAAAACAGAGGACCTTAAACTATCCTAAACCGAATGGAAACAGAATGCCGTGAGAACCGACTAGCAACTGATGTGCTGAACGCCCCCACAAAAGTGAAACGGATGCCACATAAGCTCTACTTTGGAAGGCATCAATAACTCAATTCATGCCCGTCTGTCTGGTTGCAGGTTCCTAACATGTAATTTCGGCCCAGCAAGTGAACACTGGAGATAGGTCTCACAGTAAAGGCAGTGTATTCAGGTGGAACTAGGCTAACAGAAAAAACCAAAAGCTGACGAAATTCCGAGCCTGGATGAATGGAGCCCCAAAAAGGAGTAAATCGATCATCGGTTGTTGAACTGCTTTCAGAAACCGTCAAAAAATCTGACATGGTTGACTGGGAACATTCAATCGTCGGAAGGTTAAAGGAAAGGTTCATGGATCTCCCTAAGCGGATGACCTCACGTATGCCAGTTATCTTGTTGCAGATAGCTATGTTAAACACAAATTCTGCATTGTTCTTGTTGTTTAATTGCGAAGGATGAAGATGACGCTTAGACGAAACTCAAATGGACCACTCACTGGATGAATACACAGCTGAGAGAGACACCAACCAAATTAAAGTTTACATGTATACTAGGCTACCTGACAGGTTGATAGCTGTAGCGCTCCTTCGGTGCCTAGCTGCCATGCCACTCGAAGGAAGCACGAGGGCTGGGATACTGTCAGGCTGCCTAAGCCTAGACAGGGGAAGTCGAGAGGCAGCGGTCGTGTTCGAACCACGGACCTTCCGGTCAGTAAATTCGCGCTCTAACCATCTCGCCAGCTGACTGGAGGCTGAATACCACAAGCCCTGATACACGTCAAGAAGTCGAACGGATGAGCTCTCCGAGACGTGCTGCATCATCAGATAACGCTATAGGTGAAAAAATGATGTCAAATGAGCTTGCCTATGAGCACTTCTGTGTCCCGGTATGATTCCTCAGATGGTTAAAAAGTGCTGAGACGGGAATAACGATTGGGAAAAACACTAAATGTCGTGCGAAAAAAGACAAAATTACGGGCAACAGGATTGAAAGCTACACAGAAAAAGAGGGCGTGAGATTGATCACATGGAGCTAACTGGCGCGACTCGCTGGAGAACATCCAGGTCCCAAAAAGGATGGTAGAACTATGGACTGGAAACAAAGATAGCGATCTATAAACAAACACTCAAAGCATCGTTACGGTTTCCAAACTGCGGAGATCAGAATAGGATTCAACCCACAAATTGGACTAGATTGTGTCTATTACAGAACCAACCAAAGGCGATGGAATGCCCGTGGAGAGAGAGAGAGGACTGGGTGAGAGATGGATGGACGGAGGGATGTAGCGACAAGCGCGATCCGATTTGGACATGCGCGTGTGTCTGCTTACAAACATTTTAATGACCGTGAAGGATGCGAGGCGGGATGGGACGACTAGTTTGCCGTGTGTATGCGCTCGCGCGTGTATGAATTTGATGAATCAGTGGTCGAATCTGGAGAATGTAGTGGCACAAACAGATCGACAGCCGGTTCGAATAATCACTCATCTGTTGAAGAAGGTAGGAAATTCAAAACAAACGACATTGTGGTGCTCCACAATCGGGAGATAAAAAAAAGGAAACGAAATTTGAACCTGGAGCTTGCATTGAAGGTGGTGTTGTCAACTGGTGTCCCTGGTGAACTATGAATGCTAGATGAAATTATCGCATCGGCATTGTAAGGACTTTTTGGAACTTCGCTGCGTTGATTACGATACTAAGACTTCGCATCCGAACATCTATGGCCCGGATTGGTTCTGCGCCATATGGTAACTGACATATATAATATAATACATATAATATAATAACATATAATATAATGAAGACACCAAATCATCCGCTGGAAAAT